AACTAATTCTTTCCAAAACTGAGCTCATAATATTTCCTCCTGCCTGTGCCCCCTCCCTTGACTCCCATCAAGATCAATAGCACAACTATCAGTCCCTCCACTCATGTCAGGGTGCTAGATGTAATCCTGGACTGTGACCTCTCCTTCTGGCTCCACATTAAATCATTGTCAAATTCTAGCTGCCTTTACCTCCATAACACTTCCAAAATATGCTTCTTCTTAACCAATGACACCATCACTAATTCACTACCTTGTTATCTCTCGCCTCAACTAATGCAACTCCCTCCACTTAGGTCTACCTTTACAAAGACTACCTCCCCTTCAGTCTATCATGAATGCTGCTGCCGTACCCATCCACCTTACCAAATGTTCAGTGTCCACCATCCCTCTCTGCCAATCCCTCTACTAATTTCCACGCACTCAAATACTAAAATGCAAACTACGACCAACAAAACACAAAGCCATCCACAACTCTGCCTACAGCTACATCACCAACTTCATCTCAAAATATTACCCAAACCGTTCTATTTGCTTCTTTATGGTTGCCTCTCGGACTTCTCCAGAGCCTCTCCCATCCTCTAGAACTCCCTACCTCAAGCTCTCAAGCTTTCTCCTACTCTGTCTGCCTTTAGGTGATCCCTGAAAACGTATCACTTTAGAGAAGTCTGTCGTGCCTTTTCTATTTCCACACAGTTATTATATTTTGTATTACTTGCCCTTTCCTTTAGATTGTAAGCTCTTATAAGCAGGGCCCTCCTAAACCTCTTGTCTGTAATTATATTGTAGCTATGTTGTATCCTTTTATCTTGTAAAGTGCTGCTCAAACTGTAGGTGCTATAAAAATCCTGAATAATAATACAAATAATAAGGTAACACATACCTGGTTGAGGTTTGAGTGAGCAGTGGGTCAGTGTCAGCAAGGAAAGTGTGCATTAAATTAGATAAATAAGTAAAAATAAGAGAGGGGTAACTTAAAGACAATCAATTTCTTTACCCTGTGCTCTTTGAACGAAGGTCCTCAGTAGGTTCCCAGGAGAGGGGAATCTGTTAGATAATGAATGAGAGCACAACATGCTGCAAAAAGGAGAGACAAGCTGTACGAAAAAAATCAATGCAAATGTTTCTAGGATGTTTTACTAATGATCTTCACAGAAACAACTGGGTCATAACCTTAATATATTGCTGCTATATGAAGACAATCTGTTTCATAAAAGAAAACAACTAGGTGCTTTAATCTGCAGCATACCTAATATTCAAGCCTCTATTTTTTAAAAGTGCTGCTTCAGCCAAAACATTTTTTTAATAGAGTGCGAAAGGGTTAGAACTACTAATAAGTATGTATAGCTGGCTGTAACTACACTTCAATGATTTCCCCTTGGTGTTTATTCCTATGGCACCGGGGAGATAAATGAATAGGGTCACCAGGACAGGAAGATGCAGATGGCAATAAAAACTTTAGAGTTTCTCACCTTTCCCTATTCTACTAAAAAAAAAAAGTGTTTTTGCTGCTCTGTACTGGTTTGAGAGATTTCCCCTCACTTTCTGACCACTAGACTAGAACAAGGAGGGAGAGGGCATTGCCTAAAGGAAGACACATCTATAAAAACTTGACAAAGCTTCCAACCTTTTCCATTCTATTTTCTTACTCACTGGAAATAAAGATACCCTGAACACTGTATTTTACAGGTAAGTGTTGTTACTGTTACTGATGCCCCTCTTTAATTAACCACCACTGAAGTCATCCTAGATGGGGTTATAAGGGACAGTGGTCTTCAGTATGTTTTGAGATCTCTGGTGTTGAAGAAATGGGAGATCTTTCAGTGGGGTCAATTGCCAAAACAATAAACAAAGAATATACAGATATGTAAGTGTGATAAAAACCAAAGCCAGTTTTTGTTTATGGGTCTGTTTGGCTCACTAAAATGTAAAGGAAACCTGTACTAAATGAAAATACCAAAGCTGCCATTGCTGAACTCTTTCTGAAAATGCTGGTTATCTGGTGGTTTCTGGTTTTAGCACTTTGAGATGCTGACCTACAACAAGTATGCAGATCTTGCTCTGAGCCAGTGACTTAGCAAGTACTGAAACCCGTGGATCAATATGATAGTCAAAGAACTAGTTGAGCAATGGCAGCTTCTATTAAATGATACTTGTGGCTTCCTCTGGGTCTCAAACCACCGATGATAACAGCAGCAGATTTTTATATCTGGGATATGTATAACTGCAATATACTGGCCAATTAGACTTGTTTTTGCATGTTTATATCACATGGATTATAGTGCTGTTTGAACTATTGTGGTACATTGACCTGTGTGTTAGTTTTCAAGCTTTACCATATTTATATATACAAATGTAAATTAATTTTGTTTTCATATATGGTGATGCCCATTTTTCTTTTTATATAATACAGCTTTTTATAACTTGGTTGAAACCACCAGTGTTGGATACGACTTACAGACACTCTTGTCCCACACAGTCTATTGATTTGTAAATATGGTTCTTTGAGAGTATTTTTGTGGCTATGGGGTCCTGAAAATTTACTTTTTTGAGGGATATGTATCTAGGTACATTTTTTAAAGAGGTTGTTCATAAGGTGACATTAAGGGATTTTTTCTAGGGAGGGAATTTTGAGTTACATAATGAATATAACACTATTGGCTGTATTTGCATCTTTGGAAGCACATCTGTGCTCAGCTCTGTTGTAGTCCTAAAACAGTACATGGTTTTGAGAGTTTAGCCCAGCTTTTATACTTCCTCACTATAGAGTTAATGTAGATTAAATAAAATATAAAATCTTTGCACTATATTGCTTATACCTGCTTTATATTTACATATTCTGTATTTAATGCAGCTGATATTACTAGGCACACAATTTATACCCTGTCTCAGCTGCTAAGTATGAAGGTCTAACACCCAAATCAAAACACAAAAACATTTTATCATAGCAAGTTATTTCTTTATTTTAAATATTTGATCTAAACCCGCTCTCATTCAGGACAGCGGACTGAGGATTGGAAGTATAAGAGGAATGTGACTGATTGTGAGGGATCACACAAAGGTTGTCTCTGCTGTTTCGTGTGTGTTGTGTACATGGGATAAAAGAAAGTGAGCATAGTGATGAATGGGCTCCTTCTTTACACCAGACACTTTTCTGTGTTTACTGGACAGATTAACCCCTCTATATAAGATCCCGGGAAAGTGAATTTAGAAAATATTTAAAGGAAGTATACTTTACTCAGTCATTTTACTGGTGCATGTTTCAAAATCCTAAACAGATTAGTATATATACGTATAAACCTTTCTCCAAATTATGGATAATTTGCAAAGGGGACAAAATGCTAATTAATTTTCATTGCATTTTATTTCTTTATTTATTTCTAATTTAAATAGCACCGAAATATTGCAAAGTGCCGTTCACACCAAACTGAATTGCATTTCCGACTCATTATCACTTATGGAGCTTACAATGTCCCTATCTCAGTTATAGAATTTCCACACAATATAGACAGTTAAGCTGGAGCTGACTAATATACCAGTTACTTTTTTATTTTAGGGGGAAATGTATAAAATCTCCATTAAGATACCTTTGCTGGGATTTACCTCCAAGTCACTGTAAGACAAGCAAATCTAAACCTTCTATTTTGTTATGTACATACTATATGACTAGGGGAATAATTTTAAATAAAATAGGCTTAATAACAAAGCTTTAACACAAGGATAAAGATTTTTATTTCCAGCAATGTAATCTGCAATTTTCAATTCTCTCTACATCTTTTTTTAAATAGCCATCATTATCCTGGTGTTTTAACTTTGTGAATTGAGACTACAGCATGATACGGATAGTTATTGTAATTTTCGTTATTCATTATTTGTAAAATCGCATACCTAAGCCGAAACTCAGCTGCGCTGGCAAATATGTACAGAGATCTCCAGAAGGTATGTTGAGAACGCTTCATATGTTAAAAAAAAAGGTAATTTACTGTACCTTTTGATGGCTTTGCCAAACCATGTGTATTAGCAATATGGTTTGGCATATAAACCTAAGGTTTGAAAGCAATCACGGAGGTAGGCTGTTAGCATAAGGCACAAACATACTTTCATCACATGCCTCGGGGGTCTCAGCACAGATGACACAGCCTTGGGGCTGGCCATGTCTCAAAGGTTTGAAATGTCTGGTCTCGTTTTATTTTTTTCCTCTGTGGCTTTAACTTGCCAAACACCTGGAAAAGAATCAGACACCTGGCTGCTCCAGACAGAATCCAACAAGCCTTCATGGTGGGATTTGACAAGGAATTCCCTACAGATCCCATGACTGTTGGAGACTGTTCCTTTTTTGTTCAGGCCTGTCACCAATTTCCAAAGGATCTGAAATCTGAGACGGGAGTTATTGCACGTTGGGGGTGATTTACTAAAGAAACTGTTTTCTTCCTTCCTTCGTTCACTTCAAACATACTGTAGGGTTTAGGAAAAAAAATCTGAATTTTCATTCCTCTACACATGGCTGGATATTAGAAATGACTCTCTACCCTTTACTGGGGCTTTCTGCAATAGGAATCCTGAACTAGTCTGCTTTTAGAAGGTGTATATAAAAAGACATAGGATCCAAGACTGGAGCCTTCTGCACAATGCCACATTTTCTGATGACCAGTGCTAATAGGTAACTTTCAGCATAACTTTTCTTGAAGAACTTTATTTAACAGAAGTTGGAAAAATAAACTTTCATTGGTGCACCAGAAACCTTGATCCTCAGGGTTCATTAGTGTAATAATTCCCACCTGACATGAACTATTCTATGTACAGTTTCTTTTCTCCCAGACTCACTATCTGACCTTCAGCAATACACATTTAAATTTAACAAGGACACCAACGATATAATTCTGAGCCAGGAAAGACTGAATCTGGAGATCAAAAGATCAGATTTCCGTGTGTTCCTCTTTTCATCTATGATTAACAATTCCTTTTAGTGTTATCTCTGGTTTTACACTCTGTCATTATCTTAATTATAAATTTCGTTTTAATAAAAAATCCATGGGAGCAGGACTGCCCTGTGGGCCGTTTGCAGGAAGCTGAACCAGTGGCTGGCAAAACGCAGGGTGAGGGTTGGCAACAGCAGCCGGAATCTGGGGCTGGGCTGGGTAATTCATGGCATTGATCTGATTCATGCAGCTGGCCAGATGTCCCAGGAGACGGGACCGGACGTCGGTGTTGACTCCTTCACAAGTGGACAGGAATCGGGTGACTTCGTTCATGCACTCGCTGAATCCAGCTCTGTATTTGCCCAGAACAGTGGGGTCTGTGCTGAGAGCAGCTGCAGAGAAAGAAGAACACACGTTTACATCACTGAAGACCAGACTGAGCAGACTGACCCACCCACATAGCCTCTCTAGAACTGGCATTTAGTAAAAGCATAACTAAGGGTACATTCATGTATAGGCTACAGGTAGCTCAGATCAGTTATCAGTATCCTATCCATCCTAACTGGCTGACGATCCCTCCCTCCACCCCTCCCCAGCAGAAACATGAGCTCCACATAGAAACTATAAATAAGCCCAGACCGTGGGAAAGGCAGTAAGAGCCAGCCCAGTAGAATGTATCTGAATGCCATTCAAACCGCAGGCGGAAGTCTGGAAGAGATCAGCCAGAAAGGGAAGGAGGAGGGGGGGGGTTGGAGTACTCACCAGTCATCTGAACTCTCTGCAAGTTCCGGAGGTGCTTCACTGTCATCTCCAAAATATCAGCCTTCTCCAGCTTCGAGTGCCTTGAGCTCTGAAAAGCAAATCCCACATTTAACGCTCTGCTCAACAGGTCACATCATCATATCAATTACTGCCAAGTGTTACAGGATGCACGATAACATATATGTAGCAGCAGTTATGCCTTGTATTAAAGCTAAATATTAGCAACATTGTAACAATAAAATGTAATATATGAATAATATTAATCTGCTTTAAGTCCGGTAAAATAACACAATGTACACTGTGTATCCGGATGTACTATACAATGATATAAATCCTCACTTACATCTTTCTTCAAGGCATCCAGGATGAGTGTTTTGAGCTGAGTCAGGCTCTCATTGATTCTTGCTCTCCTTCTTTTCTCCATGATGGGTTTGGATGACTGTAAACAAGAGGCACACAGTCAGTGTCATGGTGGCTACATATGTATACAATGATCCATAGGAGCTGTGTCCCCACTATCCAGGCACACAAGCCTTTGTATGATTTACCTTTCTATGCTCAGAGGCGGTTTTGGGTTTATCCGGAGTGGCGGTGATGCTGGCTGGGGTGGCAGCTACAGGAGAAGAAGAATTTTTCTCCATCATGTCAGCTGGCATCTTCTGTATTGGCACAATGTATTTTCCAAGTAGCTGAATTTTTTTAATTGGCAGCGAGGCGTGGACACGGGAGGCCAATGAGAAACCCTGGAGGGACTGGGGGGCGGGGTTCTGACAGCAACCTGTCAATCAAGAGCAATGCTTTTTAACTCTTTGTGAACACATTGCCAGTTCCAAAAATGCGCCTTATCTATTAACAGTCTCAAGTGTAAAATGTAATTTATTACAAATGTAAAATGCATGCATAGTTGTTATTACTACTTCT